TGAAAGATTTGATGGTCTTGTTTGCTTAATTTCATCTGACAGTCGGTTTACTCTGGGCAAAGTGTACACTCAAAGTGGAATATAGGTCTGGAAAGTATCATTTTGTGAAATTACTAACAATAATTAATAACCATGCTTGCCCAAGGGGTTCAAACACAAACAGTTTTTTTAAATTAAAATTGTTATTTTGAAACTTGATAATAATAACCTATCCGTCTAGTGAAACAGTATCACAAATTCAAACATGAAGATAAAGCAAAATGTAAAATCGCCAACCATTGTTGATCTGTGAAATTAAGAATAAAATACCAGTGCACTAATATAAAAATACTAATAGGTGATTAAAGGTGTCACTTGAAAAAAATTAAATGTTGACTTCAAAATGTGTTAACAAACACACACACACGAATGCGCACGCACACACACGTGTTAATAGTACTATAACTAGTCTGCATGTAATCTCCTGCAGCAATGGACGGACTATAGACTCACGTGGAACCCGGCGGAGTTCGGCAATATTACAATGATAGCCTTACCCTTACACATGGTCTGGAAGCCGGACATACTTATCTGGAACAGGTAAGTGCTGCACCCATTACCTTCGCACTGTCAATTTCATATAGGTATTCAAAAAATGCTGAATATTCTGTTATTTTAAGGCATAATAAAAACACAAATGTCAACATTTGGGAATCAGTGGGGGATAAGGAAAGCAATGTGGAGAATAACAAGTTAATAGTAGATATAGAGTGTTTTTTCGTTGTAAAAAGAAGTACTTTGCAAGATCCTCAGGCTCGTTTTACATATTTTAATTGTGACGAGACTATTTCATAAGCATGTATTTAGAATTTTAATATGCGAGTGCCATTTCAGTGTTTAATGCCGCACTTTTTTCTTGTGCAGCGCAGACGACAACCCGTTGCTCTACAGTGCCTCGTCTGGGGAAGCCGCCACGTGCAGACTATCATCCAGGGGCGCCGTCTTATGGATGCCGTATCGCCGCGTGTCCACTACATGCGGAGTAGATGTTTACACCTATCCATTCGATTCACAGTCATGTACACTTTATTTCTTCTCTCCTACACTGCCAGACGCGTACATGTATTGGAAACCAAAGTCACCAGTAGATAACACTAAAGACAGCTTGCTTCCCTCTTCAGAATGGGACGTCACTAGTCTAAATCACTCCACCATTAACTATTATGATAACGAAAGTGAAACCACAACCACTGTCCTTGCACTTAACATAAACATTCGTCGAAACTTTTCCTTCTTTTCTGTTGCAATCTTGCTACCTTCGGCTCTCCTTACATTCCTTACTCTGGCCATGTTTTGGATCCCACCTAGCTTCACGGATAAAATGTCTATGGGTATGTAGACTGTGTGTGTTATATATTTCTACCAATGAATACATAGCTATTAATGTCTCAAATCAGTCTTTACCTCATTTTAGTGATCATAGAAAAATTATTTAACACTTTCAACTTAGAATAGTACTACAAAACGTGTTCATTCCACATTATTCGCATGTACTTGTATGACATGCGATTCACACAATTACTTGTTTGGTTCTAGGAATGGCCATATGGANTCTTGTTTGCTTAATTTCATCTGACAGTCGGTTTACTCTGGGCAAAGTGTACACTCAAAGTGGAATATAGGTCTGGAAAGTATCATTTTGTGAAATTACTAACAATAATTAATAACCATGCTTGCCCAAGGGGTTCAAACACAAACAGTTTTTTTAAATTAAAATTGTTATTTTGAAACTTGATAATAATAACCTATCCGTCTAGTGAAACAGTATCACAAATTCAAACATGAAGATAAAGCAAAATGTAAAATCGCCAACCATTGTTGATCTGTGAAATTAAGAATAAAATACCAGTGCACTAATATAAAAATACTAATAGGTGATTAAAGGTGTCACTTGAAAAAAATTAAATGTTGACTTCAAAATGTGTTAACAAACACACACACACGAATGCGCACGCACACACACGTGTTAATAGTACTATAACTAGTCTGCATGTAATCTCCTGCAGCAATGGACGGACTATAGACTCACGTGGAACCCGGCGGAGTTCGGCAATATTACAATGATAGCCTTACCCTTACACATGGTCTGGAAGCCGGACATACTTATCTGGAACAGGTAAGTGCTGCACCCATTACCTTCGCACTGTCAATTTCATATAGGTATTCAAAAAATGCTGAATATTCTGTTATTTTAAGGCATAATAAAAACACAAATGTCAACATTTGGGAATCAGTGGGGGATAAGGAAAGCAATGTGGAGAATAACAAGTTAATAGTAGATATAGAGTGTTTTTTCGTTGTAAAAAGAAGTACTTTGCAAGATCCTCAGGCTCGTTTTACATATTTTAATTGTGACGAGACTATTTCATAAGCATGTATTTAGAATTTTAATATGCGAGTGCCATTTCAGTGTTTAATGCCGCACTTTTTTCTTGTGCAGCGCAGACGACAACCCGTTGCTCTACAGTGCCTCGTCTGGGGAAGCCGCCACGTGCAGACTATCATCCAGGGGCGCCGTCTTATGGATGCCGTATCGCCGCGTGTCCACTACATGCGGAGTAGATGTTTACACCTATCCATTCGATTCACAGTCATGTACACTTTATTTCTTCTCTCCTACACTGCCAGACGCGTACATGTATTGGAAACCAAAGTCACCAGTAGATAACACTAAAGACAGCTTGCTTCCCTCTTCAGAATGGGACGTCACTAGTCTAAATCACTCCACCATTAACTATTATGATAACGAAAGTGAAACCACAACCACTGTCCTTGCACTTAACATAAACATTCGTCGAAACTTTTCCTTCTTTTCTGTTGCAATCTTGCTACCTTCGGCTCTCCTTACATTCCTTACTCTGGCCATGTTTTGGATCCCACCTAGCTTCACGGATAAAATGTCTATGGGTATGTAGACTGTGTGTGTTATATATTTCTACCAATGAATACATAGCTATTAATGTCTCAAATCAGTCTTTACCTCATTTTAGTGATCATAGAAAAATTATTTAACACTTTCAACTTAGAATAGTACTACAAAACGTGTTCATTCCACATTATTCGCATGTACTTGTATGACATGCGATTCACCCAATTACTTGTTTGGTTCTAGGAATGGCCATATGGACGTGTCTCTGTGTGAGCCTACTGGTTTTGGTCGGAATCCTGCCGGGGGGAGGTGGAAGAATTCCTTTAGTTGGTGAGCTTACATAGTAAACATTATCTACATGAGTAACTGTATAGCAGTCCCCATGGTAAAATGTTGTAAACCCACATTTATCAAAGTATTGCTGTCATTTATTAGGCACAATTCCGACAATTTGGTTTAATCAGGTAACTGCATGTGTAAAATAACTAATCTAAATAAACGTGAGATTACAGTTAATGTAGAAGTAGGAATAAAACATAGTAAGCTCATGCAAAATCTTTGAAATTTCACTATTTGACTCGCCCTACATTCTGCTGCTAATTGTGCTATGTTTATGTATCGAAAGTGGACTATCTCGTGCTTTTCAGTTTCTTTCTTCATCTTAAATCTGATTCTCGTGACTGTTACGATGATGGTCATGATTGGCACGACAAGAATGGCGGAGAACTGCACCCCCGTGCCACGGTGGCTCAGCAAGGTGAGGTGGCAACGCATGCGCAGTCAACATGTTCTACTAGTACGTTGTCATATTGCCTTCATATAGAGCTGTAGCTGCTGGTTTAAAAAAGATACCTGCAATGCTTATCTACTTGACTATGCACTTGTATCATCTTAGACATTTTGTTGAGGGAGGGGGGTTGCAAGGAATACAGTAGTGAATAGAAAAAGTGAATTGCGTATAGCGAAGCAGAGCTAATGTCGTACAATATATGCGGGCACATGTGAAGAAAATAGTGTGTTTTGTCTTATTTCGTTTTTCTACTGTTTTATTAAGGAAATATTTCAGAAAATAAAGGGGGGGGGGTGACTCAGATATGCTAGGACGTCACGTGACCTACTGTATCAACCTACTGGTTCGTCACTATAGTCAGTTTTGCCTGTAATTATATGCACCTTAAAAGCCAAGCTACATATACCTACTCAGAATATACTTTACCCTTTCAGTTTGGAAAGAAAGTATTGGCGCCCGTGTTTTGCATGCGCAGTACATATCTAGTGCAGGATGGTTGCACTGAAACCCAAGAAAGCTCTCTGGGGAAAGCTTCAGTGGCAGGATCTGCTGTAAAGGATCTCAGCACTGACAGTAACGAGGCAATCTGCGCCACAAGTGCAGAGAACAGCCAGAAATACAGAGAAGAATGGCAATGTATTGCCAGCGTGTTTGATCGACTTTTTTTCTGGTTGTTTTTTACTGCGAGCATATTCTTCACCACGTGGGTTTCAATGTATATTCTGAATAGTTAATTATGTAGGTATTCATAAGTTGAAAAAGTGGCACCTATAACAGCATATCCGTTTATTTCATGACAGCACTGTGTAGTATTGCGAAGTATTTGCGATGTAAAATATTCTTATCGATATTCAGTAAGCCCTGCATGGGACACTAGGTATTTCGTATCTCTAGTCGTGGAACACACAAGCTATGGCCTTATCTTAACGAAATATTAGGTTGCGTTCACAGTGAAACTAACATGCTAGGTAGTTCTAACTAGCTCCGCAGGGACTCCCGTTGCATACACTTAGTTTAAACATTAAAACGCCCAAAATTCTGGCATTAAATAAAATACAGAAAAGCTGCAATTTTACAAGTACCTTGGACACAAGAGAAGGCAAGATAATCTTTAATCTGATTACATTCAACGAGAATTCCCCGAAGTTAGTTAGAACTACCTAGTGTGATAGTTTCAATGTGAGCACACCCTCTGACTGTCGAGAGCTTTGTCAAGATTGTCAATCTATTACCAATAACCCACGTGTCTCTGGTGTGAATCATTCTTATAATGACTGCTGAATTCCAGTATCTCCTGTTCAACAAACTTACTACAAGTGAGCTTGCTCGGGTCCATTGCGCCGCTGCTTGGAAACGATAGAGGCAGTGTGCCTTTAGATGCCGATAGCGGGGTGGCGTGGACGGCGGCTGTTTATGCTGTTTTGTCTGGGACGTGGTGAACATTTCCGTCAGCGGTCTATAAAACAAGTTACAGGTGCCGCAGTTGTCAATTCACTTTTGGTCATACTACTGTTTAATGAAAGAACATTCTAATATATAAATAACCAGGCAAAGGCGTATCTCATGTGCCGCAGAATGTATTCAGTGGGATCTTCAGCATTTGGTCTGGGTATTGTGGCGTGGCTTGTGGTTGTAACAACTGGACAGGACTGCCCACCGGTCAGCTGTCCACCTAGTGCCGATATCAACCAGCGTGTGAATGTCCTTGCAGCTTCTTATTCCAACGTGGCCTTGTTGTTGGAGCGGTTAGAGAGGGAAGTCCGTCAACTGAGCACCGCTATAGGAAATCCAGGTTTGTGACTTTAACCGTGAAATGTTGACATCCGCTTTTAATATGTTCGAATAATATAAAAAAAAAAGCTTGTATTTTGGTGTTAACATATTACAAAATGTAAGCATTTATAATGCAATATTCATTAAATTAAGATCCGTACTTTGAATGTAAACAACATGCCACTACAAAGAGAGCTCATACGAATTACATTTGTGAAATAGACGAAACTATATATATCAACAATAGCTTTTAAGCATACAGGTTTGAAGGTTATGACTAGACTTCAATTGGACCGGTTCCACATCTATGAAATTTCTTATCATTTAAATTGTGAACATATATAATATATAAATAATGCATCTTATCAAAAGATAAGTGTTTAAAATGCCTGGGGCCATGTGACCATTGAGAAAAAGCGCACAACTCTTAGATCTGTAGTTATATGTTCAATATGTAGACAAGCATGGGGAAATGAATAATTACATTAGATAAACTTAAAACATCCTTTCCTTTTGTTGCAAACCTTATAAACTCTAGTGAAATACATCAGGATGAATTGATTTTTTTTATCTTTATTTACATTTCAGATTCCCCACGTGTTGCGTTCTCGGCAGCACTTGAACATTCAAGGGTCGTTAAAACAAGCGATGTCTTGAATTTTGAAAAGGTTATCACTAACGTTGGTAATGCATACAACGCAATGTCGGGACGATTCACTTGCCCGTTTTCCGGCAGCTACTTCTTTACGGCAACGATTTCAACGTCAACAACCGGGGAACGAATTGCGGCCGAACTGCGCAGAAGCACACAGCCCGATGCTTTTCTGATGTATGTCCTTGCTGCGAGCCACGATGATCATAACACTGGGTCCAATTCGGTAATCACCAGGTGTGAGAAAGGGGAGACTGTCCACCTCCAGGCGATTCACGTGACAGGCCCAACTCCGACTCTCTGGTATGCCTGGTCTACATTTTCCGGATACCTGATTGGATGAAAATATATTGAAGCCTTCCTTTCGTACTTCATTTTGCCTGATGTGAAAATTCATGAGCTTGCAATCCTTAAACAGTAACAGATATTTAGAATTGTTGGATTAATTTTTCCTATTCACTGTTTCTGCACCTTTAAAGCCAGCTGAGACTTTTTTATTTCACCTTCATTGCTTAGAAGAACTCTCAAGTTCTCCTCCGTATTAGCAGTATTGCTACTAGGACAGCTCAGAAATCAGATGTTTGTGCATGCGCAATAAATGTGCTTTATTAAATGAACAAAATGGCGAAATTGACAAGGCCTGCATATCTTTACCGCATGTTTGTTTTTATTTGATTTATGGTGTCGTTTGAAAAGTAAATTGGTTTGGGATCGCTTAGTGTATGTTGGCTCTTCAGTGTATTAAAGCAATTCGTATAAACATCAGTCTTTGCTTATTTTGTCTATATTTAAAGGGAACTCTACACACTTATCTGTGTCGCGAGCCATTAAGACCTGCATGGAGCATTGGATTTAAAAAAATAAACGAACAAACATTTAATGACCATTCGACCGGTGACTACCTACCATTTCTCTTCCCCTTCCCTCTTTCTTGTCTCTCTCTCATTGTACGTGTTATTTGACAGGTTACTCAATTTTTATGGTTGTAATGCATTATGAAAAAATAAATATTTGAGCAGGCATTTGAATATGGGAAACTGCAGAAGCGAGCTGTTAACAGACGTTGCTGTCTAGCATATTTGCATATCTGTATAATTTTCACCCCTTTCATTTACTGTTGACATATTTTCGTACTGAAGGGTAGTGTTGTATATAAAACAGCGGATATAATGAGGGATGTGCAAATGGGAATAACAATATTACACAAATGTACGCGTCATCGATGAGATTCAGATATTTATTTACCTTTCCGTGGAGTGGCCATGTAAGTTAAGTTACTCTATATAAAATTCGACCAAGAGATGTTTGCTGAATGGTACCTCTCCCTTAGCCATCACTGGTACTGTAGATACATGATAATATGTTGGAATAAAGTGGTATACGTTTCATTGAATAGACTGACTAATTATTGCAATATTATCAGAATATAATTAAGGGGTTAAATGGTAGTCGGACGACAGCGTCTACATGACTGTAGATCTTTCGTTCTGCAATATGTGAGGGGGTTGATGAGCTTGGGTTCGGTTCATTTTATCACCGGTTGGAAACGACAAATGTGTGGCGATGTTAGATGCTGATAGCGAGGTGATATCAGGGTCGTGGTCAAGACTTCTGTCAGCGGTCACTAAAATGAACGCGGCAGTGTTACAATGCACCTTGCAAATTATAAGACACTGTGTGCATATAGGTTTTACAATTAATATTACACGACTGTTATCGTTGCACAAAATTCCATACTCACTTTTGTACGTTTACTATTTAATGAGATATCATTTGGATAAGACAATTGATAATAACCGGTCTTAAATTTGTTGAACAGTGCCTCAACATGTATTCAGTGGGATCTTCAGCATTTGGTCTGGGTTTTGTGGCGTGGCTTGTGGTTGTTACAACTGGACAGGACTGCCCACCGATCAGCTGTCCACCTAGTGCCGACATCAACCAACGTGTGAACGTCCTGGCAGCTTCTTATTCCAATGTGGCCTTATTGTTGGAGCGGTTAGAGGGGGAAGTCCGTAAACTTAGCACTGCTATAGGAAAGCCAGGTTTGTGACTTCACCCGAGCCTGTCCACTTTTAAGAGAAATGATGACTTTTTGACGTTGCTATTTGAGAAAAACTAAAAATGATCATAAGATATTCACCAAAGTAAAGAAAAGTAAAGATACTTAAGATTTTAAATGTCTTACCATAAAGGGAGTGAACACTGCCGATGGCTTTAGTTGAGAGAATTGCAACGCAGGAAATAAGTTGTCAACGGTGATCTTTAGTATGCGTGCTTCCCGACACGTTTGCTGCACACACAAGGATAACCTGGGGAATGCATTATTAAATTACACAACCGGTTAAAATTATCTTCCCGATTATTTCAAACCAACAAAAAACAGCAGCATTCTTTCCGATCTTTGTTAATATTTCAGATCCTGTACGTGTTGCGTTTTCGACAGTGCTAGCAAATTCAAGAAGCATTACTGTGTAGTGGTTAGCGTGCAAGACTACATGGTAAGAAATCATGAATTCTTCTGTTGCATCTATGGGTTCGAGACCTACTTTTGACATAACCTTATCCCCCCTGCTCCCTATTTATTACTTGTAGCAAAATGTTTAATGGTACGTGTTAATATGTGGAACGTGTTAATATGTGTTCGAAATTCCGTTCTCATTACATTTACAACTTTTTTGTTTTGTCTTTTAAGTGTCAAAGCACCAAAATAGCAAAGGGTTATTACAGAACATTATATACATATATTGCAATTTTCAATTTCTAAACTGTCTTGATTTGTCTTAAATCTTAGCCCATACTTTCCAAGAGCAAATTTCCATCTAGTTTGAGATTTTTTTTATTTCAGCGAGTGTAAACCGAAAAATAAATCTAAGAACGGAGATCTCGTGTTTTGTGTAAAGTGATTTTTCTCATAGGAATAAGGTTTTGAAAAAGAGAGAGAGGGAGAGAAAATAAGAATTTCGACGCAAAACACAAAAGGTACACCCCAGTAGAAAAGGACATGAAATAATATACAGGTACACTGTGCATATATACCTCAAAGGATGAAAATAAGGGATGCCTTTGGATGGTGCCTTATTTTGTTAAAAAAATATCGGGCAAACCAGGCTCATACATATTGTGCAATGAGGGAGGAGTACGCCAAAAATATGCATTTACTAGATGAAAAATACACATAAAATAAATGAATTGTTTTTGTTTCTTCATAAATATGCATATAAACTGCCTATCGGAAAGCATTGTAAAATATAAAGATAAAATGTCATATAAATAGAATAAAGCAAACGTTTATTATATCTTTAAAACTAGTATGTCTCTATATCTATTTATTCATGTCATTCCTTGGTGTAAACTATATAGGACATGCGTTACTAAAATGTTAGGCACGCACGTCCCATTAGGACGTGCATTACTTCACGTAGGACTTACATTACTTGGTAGCCTTCGTCCTACGGACATTGAATCCTAGTAACGCATGTCCTAGGACTTCCATTCCTAGCAATGCATGCCCTAGGACTTGCATTCCCAGGACTTAGTGTCCGGGCGGACTTGCGTTACGAGGACGTGCACTCCTGCCACACCGGCATCTACTTCTTTACTGCAACGATTTCAACGTCAACATCCGGGGAACGAATCGAGGCAGTACTGCGCAGAAGCACACAGCCCGGGACTGCTCTGATGTATCTCCTTGCTTCTAGTTACCATGATCATAACACAGGGTCTAATTCGGTAATCACCAAGTGTGAGAAAGGGGAGATCGTCTACCTACAGGTGAAACACGTGAACGGTCCAACTCCGACACTCTGGAATGCCTGGTCTACATTTTCCGGATACCTGATTGGATAAAAATCAGTTGAAGCCTTCCTTTTGTGCCATTTTTTTTAAACGAAAATGCATTTGATCCCTTCATTGAAACAGATTGTTAACATGATTGTTTTTTTTGCACTCGTTTGTTGCACATGAAAAAAACAGCTAAGACTTTCAATTGTCACGATTTTAATTTTTTGACGGATTTGTTTCCTTAATCCTCCGTAACTGGCATAATAATAATAATTTGTTAGCGAGACTTTGTATCAAGTGTAAACATTTCTGTTAATAACCCTCTGGCAGTAAACGGTTTTGTGGTTACTGGAGTGACTGCACGGGAAAAATGAATATTATACAGGAATATCTATAAATTCACCTGTTTGAGAGAGTTTGTATAAGAATCTAGTTTTCACAATAATATACCGTCATTACTGCATGGTCAGAACACAATATCCGTGGCTTCTCTACGTCCAGAAAGACGACCATTTATGCGGAAAGTTTATAAGAGAAGGTGACTATCACGTTTCTGCAACTTTACCGGGGCGTTTAGAGGTCGTGTCGACCACGTGGTAACTACGTTTTCTCTGCGTTTATTATAAAACAGTTGAGCTGTATACATACAACAATGAATATTTTGCCTTTCTTCTCTATACAACAGAACAGCCAATGTACATTTTCGTGCTCTGGCGCACGTTCCTGTAACTACACATCCTGTGCCATCATTTTGTATCATTCGTTTCAAGTCTCCGGTTTTAAGTGCTTAGTAGGTCATGTCGGCAGTAAGGCATATAGGTTATATATAATCCCTTTGTTAACTGACTGTTTCCGGGTCGAATGTAAAATAAACAATAATTTAAAACAATGGCAATAGCATCCTATTCAAAGAGGAAAAAACATAGGCTGCAATACGCTGATAAATACATTGAGCAACTGGAGTTAAAGCAGAAGAGATTTCGGTTTCGCCAGTTCTAATTTTGCGTTACTGTCTGTCACATGTACCATTGGAGCAAGTGTGCAGTTATGTCTTGGGGTTGCTATTTTCTCGTGCCCTTACTTGTTTTAGTTTGTGTTTCTACATGTACTTCACAAGAAGAAGGAATGGAGGAACGGGTCCGGGGTCTAGAGGCTTTCAGAAACGTTATCTTTACCTGGTTGGAAAGGCTACAAAATGATATTCTGTTGATTAACGCTACTGCAAAATGTGGTAAGATCTACGTCTTCCTCTTCCTCTGCTTCTGTCTCTCTTTTTTGTATTCATCCCTTATTCTTTTTCTGTGTTTCTCTCTCCCATACACATTGTGCCTGCACGTTCTCACTTGTATTACCCTATTCTATTACATAAACCTTGTTTTGTTTTACAGGTGTGCCTACTGTCGCATTTTCGGCACGGCTTACCACTTCTCCTCAACTTAAAAGGAACGACAACCTAGTGTTTGCTGGCGTCATCACCAACATTGGAAACGCGTACGACCCAACATCCGGGCGTTTCACCTGTCCCGTTTCTGGCACTTACTTTTTTACGGCAACCATTCTGACGTCATACAACGGCGGAAGAGTCGAGGTTACGTTACGCAGCAATAAGAGACCTGGGAATACCCTGAGTGTCAGAGAAACGTAAAAGCTAGCTTGTAAATATATACCTTGTGATGGAGTCGCTTTTACTAGCTCTGACGAACAGCGACAATCTGAGGGCGTTCTTCTTCAAAATTTTGCCTGGGGCGCTTCCATATTTGGAAGTCACACGTCACAGCTGTGTCCGCCTGGATCCATATTTGGAAGTGATAAGTCTCGTACGTCACAGGTTTGGCCGCCTGGAGCTGCCTTTCCCGCCTAGCGCTGAAGNTTTTTTTTTTTAATATATATATATATATATATATATATATATATATATATATATATATATATATATATATATACGGTATATAATTCTTCGGTACCTGTAGGTCTAATAATGCATTATACATTTGCATTGGCATATATATAACTTTTCTCGCAGAGAAAACACCCTGCGCTCAAATAAATTTTGAATACATTGGCATGTGCAATGTCTGATTACCAAACTTAAATTAGTATATAAAAATGAAAATAAAGGCAAATAAATAAAAATAAAGTAAATAAATAAATAAATAGTCGGATAACTCAATTAGGAATTTATCATGTCCGATGATACGTTCTTGTCTTTGTTGTATGGTTAGACCCATTAGATGTTTTATGGTAAAAATCAAAGATTAACTAAATGCATAATTGCCATAACAGACCAAGTGACCTGCACTACTTTGCAAAAAGTCACTTTTGAAATGTCGTGCCGCAGTCCTCAGACCATGGTTTCTAATGGGTCCAAGCAATGACGTACTGTCAGACGCTGCATGGGTATTGCTATATGTTAGATAAAGTGTTGTTACGGATTGCGGTGCCAATCCAATAGCAAACTCCCAGCAACCCAATTGAAAATAGGCAGAAAAATAAACAGTCGAACACTGCTGCCACCTTTCGCCGCTCCTCCTCTATTTTCTCTTTAGTTTCCTTCTGACGCATGCGCAGTAGTTGCTTGTGACGTATGATGGCCAGTAAAGGGTCACTTTCACTCAGTGTTTTCAGTGCTGTATTTAAGATTTGGTCTTCAGTGTTCGGTGCGGAGGTCACGTCAGGTAGGCATTCCCCAGGGACAGAGCCGCCTTTAGCTGGGCCAATGAGGCTGGGTCTCTGCTTGCATGGCATCTTCATACACAACAGTGGCGAAAGCACACTAAAGGCTATCTGTAAAGATGCATACATGACCAATTCATGAGATTCTTTGATGCAGAATGATAGGAGGCGTATTATACAAGATCATTTCGATACAAACAATATATAAGTAAATTAAATGCTTTGGAAAGAAAATAAATGCATTTATATTACAACCAAACGCGCCCCTTTCCTGATAATATGTGTACCAAATGGTATTTGATCTACAGGGTATTTATGTATTTCCAATGAAGTGGATCAAATTGCTGATTACTCTTCAGGGCCTTCAACGAGATTCCATAAAAAAGCCCCCCAAATGGGTAAGAAGTGCATCATTAACACCCTAGACAAAACGTCAAAAACATGCAGACGGGATGGAATTAGGTTTTAAAAAACTTTGAAGAAATCTGAATTAAAACAAATATGGATTATGAAAAATTGTGTTAATAATAACCAAAATGACCTGTACTTAATGAAGTTATTTATAAATGAAACACAAACTATGGTGAAAAAAAAAAACGAAATAAAACCAATGAATAAAACAATAATGATGAAAACAAATTAAGGTGTTGAATTGAACATTCACCACGATGATAAAGTCTACAAACACGTCTTACCATTTTAAGCCATGGAGACACGGGGGTGTCAGCCTCTCGTATCCTGTTTGTGAACACTGAGACGATCATTGTGACCGTTACCAGGACCAGGTTGATAACGAAGAAAAAGCCTGAGGAATAAAAAGGAAAAGGTGTAAGAAAATTTAAATATCCTGTTAGCTCAGTCTGGGTGATTAACAACAACGTGTGTTCATTTTTATTTATCACTTATTCATGTGAATACAATTAACATGACTATGTTAAGATTGGGTATAGTCAGTGAGTGGGGTTTGTGTTGTTGGGGCAACCACTCCTTGGTAATAATAAATAAATAAATAAACAAATAAAACTGAATTTAAATAAATAATCAAATGTAATCTAAAGATTAAGCGTTTTCTTGTGTAAGGTGCAAGGTGCAAGTACCGGGGTAAATCCATACCTACCGATCATTGGATGTTCGTTTCCATTTCCAGGTATAACCTCAACGAGTATAAGAAGAATCACGCAAAAACACGTCCATATTGCCATTCCTAAAATGAACAGAAAATATAATAACACTCTTTTTTATGTCTGAAATATAAATGTCGCCATTTGCAATTAATACATGTTATATGAATTTTCAAAATTGCAGGCACGTCTATATTGGCTACCGTTATTTGCAAACAAAGTTTGATGAATAAGCGAATTGATGAATAAGCGTATTTTTATTTTGTTTGCTAAGACAGCAAAGCATCTCAGAAGCAAGTTCCCGAGATTCATATGCATAATGACCCGAGGTTTCCAAATATGTGCCACCTGGTAAAGCTAAGAAAGGAAAACCTACCCATGGACATCTTGTCTGTCGTCTGCGGTGATAACCAGAATATAGTCAGAGTAAGCGCCGCCAGGAGCACACACGGCAGCAGCATTACCAGAGAGAAAAACGAGAACCGGCGCTGAATACGAATGGAATATACCAGAAAGGTAATCCTGTCAGGGCCGGTATGGTGATGGACTTTGGTGACATTACTGGCCACCAGTTTCCATGTTGAGGATAGAGTCAGATCGTAATGCTCATCAACAGTGTAATTAGCCAGATTATAATGTAGATCAAGGACATCGTCGGTCATAGTGGACGAGTGAATCTGAACGTTACAGTCTTGGTAATCAAATGGATAAGTTAAAATATTTACTGTACACACAGTCAATAGCCTGCGATGCGGCGTCCACTGCAAGTTACCGTCCGAAAATATCCGACATTTTACGGAATTAGCCGGACCAGAATTACTGTAAAGCAATGCATTCTCGTCTGCACTGGAAGCGGTGAAATAAAATTTAGAAAATATATATAAGATTATTTTTGAATACTTATTTTATCTGTAATTCGTAATGTGTAAGAATGTCAGTTATTTTTTTTATTATATACCACGTTTTAAGATAAGAGCATATGATTTATTGGTATTTCAGGAAATCATGATATTCACGTTCTGAATGCAGTTTAGTACTGAGTGCAGACAAAATGATATGTCTTGGTGTTGGCATGTCTGGCTGCTGGTGGGAACATGCTAATACACAACTTAGAACTCGGCTACGTGTAGCGTACGTGGCTTTAGAGAAGAACACCCTTTTCTTTACAAACATCATATATATTACTGATATATAGTACAAAGAGTAACAGAAAAATATGTGAAAGATAAGACTAAACAAATACAAACTGACTGCATGTAAATAAAATTTAATAAAATAGCTTAACCTGTTCGATATGTCTTAGCCCGGAATCCACAGTGACGACAGAGGCAGAGCAATGCTGGAAATATTTCCAAATTCTGAGGCGTTCCATGCCAAGCGTCCGTCGTTCCATTTCTAGAATCAGGTTTGAATGGAAAGGCACATTTGTTTCTTATTTCAATAAAAAAATACATGCATTTTGACCTTGGTGATTGTCGTCGTGTTGTCTTATTGTCAAGAACATGCACTATTGTTAGATTAAGTGTCAAATTAAATTGGAATAAGTGTCTAGGAAAAAAATTATAAATAAAACAATATCATAAGATGCAAGCATTTTCTCTGAGAACCCAAATTTACTTACCACTACGAAGATGGCTGAAAATGACAACATCTGGTACACCTCGTCCTAAATGAAACAGAGTACGATCATAGAGAGTACATTGGTTACCATAAAGACTTTGGCAAAGTGTCCGTCATGATTTGGTAGTAGTTACCCGACCTTGGGGTAACTGTAGGACAACTGATCTAGATCTGCCTGTCAGTCAACGTACAGCTTTACGAAAGCACGTATCAGGAAAAAAAAAAAAAAAAAACTAATGGCACATGCGTTATTCATTTCATAGTACACTGTTTCAAACCCCCAAATCATTCTCTCAGCTTAAAGCAGAACTTTATCGAATTTATACGAAAGCCCCCGTTACTTAAGCTGTTTTTTTGAGGAATTTATCTTTAGAATTGAAAAATCTTAACAGCTTATATAATTACTAAAGTAAATAGTGTCTACCGCTTACTGTTTAAAATACCCTGTAATCTATCCCTGGAGGGTCATGTGCTTTACAAATTAGTTTAAAATCTGTGCAGAACGTTTTTGAGATACCCTGTCCACAAACAAGTTAACCGACGAAAGTTGGTAAACAATAAACCTACTAAATTGAATATCTGGCTTAAGTACATCTGAGCAGTGACCGTAACGCGTCCAGTATCTCTGGACACGGGCATCACGAGGGGCCTGGACCGGGCTGTCACGTGGTCAGTCAGTCTATCCAAGTCTTCACTGCAGTGAACACCTGGAAGTTGACCATTGGGCATGTGCTTCATGTTTATTTTAAATGTGCCAATTACAATAGATAGGCCTAAATATAAATAGAAAGAGGGGGATAACGATTGAGGAAAGAAGTATAGACAAGAATGAAAAGTAACTACAAATGTTTAAAAAGGAAAAGAAAACGAACACAGAGAAATGAACGGGAAAATGAATGAACACAGATGCGAAATACACTAATAGAGAAGCTACTAAGGAGATAAATGGATAAAACACTAACGCATTGGGTAGTAATGTGTAAGAATAACCACACATTACTACCCAATGCGTTAGTGTTTAAATTAACAAGATGAACATATTTACCTGTGATGAACAGTGTGATAGAGAAATACAGAATTGTCCTCATGGTGATTGATCTCATGCTGACTGCTGTCCTGACGGTAGTCGTTCTCTAATTGACAATAAGAGGGCACCAAGTCATATAAATACGCAGTGCTCGTAACTTGATACTGAACACCACGCCCAAACGGAAATAAAAAACCTTTAAATATATTTGAACTAGCAAACTAGAAACAAAAAACAATTTGCAACAGAAAGGAAACGATTAAAACACAGGTGACTCGATTCTGAATTCCCCAGGGTGAAGTAATGAGCATTGCTCTGTTTGGAAACCATGTGTCATCTGCAAATTGCAATCCCAACATTCAATCTTCAGAGTGTATATCTGTGATGTTCGGCATCCTGTTTGCCTAATCATTAACAAAAGCTCATCAAAGACTAATGGGCCTCAAATGTTAAAAAATGCTTTTACATGTTATAATACAAGATCAATACTTTTAGGTCTTATTAAAAAGGGTTTCAATCAGAAAAGTGATTTAGATAAATGCGTGAATTATCGACCCATGGATGGAAAGATAATCAATTGGTTTGACGCCACCACTCACGCATTTCCCACCCAAGACCTCTGTATGTCGCTATATGGGATTGTTTAAAAAAGAAATGGATTTTCCACAAGGCAAGTGCGTGACATTCCTCTTTCAATTGCTGAACGAGTCTACGGAAAATCCAACTGATGCATATACTGCACATTTTGTTAGTATATGCCGTTGACCATATTTTGTCAGTGACATTAATAATATATTATTTGTGAACATCTAATTAGAATTTTATAAATAAATAAAATTGATTAAAACTTTTCCTTGTCAGGTAATAAAGAACGTGCTTCACATTTGCAGTAATAATAACGATACCCCAATCATGTTATTTGTTTATTTGAAAAGCCTTTTTATAATAATAATAATAATAACTTACAACATAAATTATATTTTTTTTGGATAAAGTACTAGAGTAAATAATTTATAAAACAGTAAATGACACAGGGTAGCAAATACTCTTCCTGGGGATGTCCTATCATTTGGTTTCAAAATACACATATCAGATATCACAAAAAACTTATCGAACTGTGTATTTAACGTACATAAGTGCGGTCAATATTTAAACCTACGGAAATGCTATTTGACGCGTCCCTAAATCATGTTAAATGTAGTTGAAGTGTTATTCGGGAAGGAATTATCTTGCGCCCAGTCCATATCTTCCAATTGTTACGCCAACAACATGCCTGAAGGAAATGCATTACTGATGTATTTTACTGACTCTTTTGTTCTCAGAAAGTTTACTTGTAATGATGGAGGTCGATTCATTGTTTTTATACGAGGATTTTACTACAGGCTATAAATTCAAAAAATACAAAAAAAAAAAATGATGAAAAAAATATATTTTATACTATTTAGTGACATTTATAACAGGTACCCCCTCAAATCAATTGTTTCACTGTGATTTCTACAGATGTATGACGTTGGGAAAAAGTGACTATCACGTTTCTGCAACCTTACTGGGGCGTTTAGAGGTCGTAACGACCACGTTGTAAGCACATTTTCTCTACGTTTGTTAAGTGTATACATACAGCAATAAGTATTTTACTTTTCTTCATCTCCTCTCTATACAACAAAACAGTCAACGTACATGTTCGTGTTCTGGCGCACGTTCCTGTAACTACACATTCTGTGCCATTAATTTGTATCATTCATTTCTAGTGTTTGGTTTAAGGTGCTTAGAAGGTCATTACGGCAATAAGGCATATGTGTTATATATGATCCTTTTATTAACTGACTGTTGCCTTGTGTCCGGGTCGAATGTAAAATAAACAACAATTTAAAACTAGGGCAACAGCATCCTGTTCACAGTGATAAAACTTAGGCCATAATACGCTTACTCATTGAGCAACTGGAGTTAAAGAAGAAGAGATTACGGTTTCGCCAATTCTCATTTTGCGTTCCTGTCTGTTACATGTACCATTGGATCAAGTGTGCAGTTATGTCTTGGGGTTGCTATTTTCTAGTGGTCCTATTAATTGCTGGTTGTGATTCTACATGTACTCCACAAGAAGAAGGAAACGTTATCTTTACCTGGCTGGAAAGGCTGCAAAATGATATTCTGTTGGTTAACGCTACTGCAAAATGTGGTAAGACCTACGTATCTTTCTCTGCTTCTGTCTCTCTTTTTATTGTATGCGTGCCTTCATCTCTCTCTCTCTCCCCCATACACATTGTGCGTACATGCGCTCACATGTATAGTACCCTATTCTATCAAATGTATTAAAACCTTGTTTGGTTTTACAGGTGTGCCGACTGTCGCATTTTCGGCACAGCTTACCACTTCTCCTCAAGTTAAAAGGAACGACGATCTAGTGTTTGCTGGCGTCATCACCAACATTGGAAACGCGTACGACCCAACATCCGGGCGTTTCACCTGTCCCGTTTCTGGCACTTATTTTTTTACGGCAACCATTCTGACGTCACACAACGGCGGAAGAGTCGAGGTTACGTTACGGAGCAGTAAGAAACCTGGGAAGAACTTGATGCTTCTTCTTGCCAAGAGTCATGGAGATCACAACAGCGGGTCGAACTCCGTTATCGTTCAGTGTGAAAAAGGGGAAGAGATAAACCTTCGAGTTTATCAAGTTTATAACCCGAACCCAACCTTATGGCACTTGTGGTCGACCTTCTCCGGATATCTGATCGCTTCATAAAAAATGAAACCGAATGTGACACAAACTAAAAATTAATATTGGCTAATAATTAACCAGCCACCCTATTTTAATTGTTACCTAAAGGTTTTTAAAATTAAAATGATACCGAATATATACACCTTGGACCAGTAATTAGTTTTTGAAAACCATTTTCAAATTATTTTCAAAATAATTTGAAGATGGTAGCGAATGCAAATGCAACTTTTAGTTCGAGAAACTTCAAAGCAAAAATAAATTGATAAATAATAATAATAATAACAAGTTATGAGATTTCTTTATTCCACAATTTTAGTTCATCTAAAATGCAACCAATAACCAAATGATGTACCAGGTGCCTTAGAAAGCTGGATCACATGACGTGAATGTTGGCTCAATAAAACAACCTGAAAAATTCCACCATATATTGTTTTTCGTCTGTTTTGCTGTTTTATGTCATGGTTTTATTTTCATCTCAGCAAAGTCTCGAATTCGAAAACGTTCATCACTGATGTACATATGATTTTGAGGCTATTCAAAGAACATGTTTTTCAAAAACAGTTTAAATAGTTCTTAATCTGCAGACAGTAGAGAAACAAACACACACGTGATTGTTATTGTTTTTTACATGTATTTCAGAATCAAAACGTAAAAGAACATTTAGACTTACACCATTAAACACACACACAAAAAAAAAAAAAAAAGAAAGAAAAAAAAATGAAAATGAAATCCTGCCTTGCTAATGACATATTTGATACGATGAAAACGTTTTATTTAGCTAAATACATAGACATCAAGAAGCATATTGAACATATTAGGATTTTAATGTTCATATAATAATAATAATAATAATGAATAGCTTACACTTGTGATACTACTTTTACTGTAACACAGGAGTTTTAACACCTTAAAAGTGGACTAAACAGTGTTTCAAAAATCGTTATACCAGATACGTTGTTTTCAATCTGCAAACAGTAAAGAAAGGACAAATAATGGTGATTTAAATTGTTCATACGATGAAAACATTTTATTTTATAATAATATTTATGACAACAATAATGATAATTCTAAACACTTGTGATACTACAGGGTGTAGCAAGTATTTTAACGTATATTTGCGCTTTCAATAGACGATAACATTGACCTTAAGCTTGGAGCATGCAGACAAAAGGGCTTGAAAACTTGTATTATTTCCTTTAAACTTTCCTTCTAAATTCGCCTAGTGTTTTGGTACCATCATTGAATTTATTGTAATCGAGTTTGTTTTATGTTGTATATATTGTTATTGTAACCTTCAATAACAACAACACTATTGTATGTATATACGGTATATAATTCTTCGGTAGGTCTAATAATGCATTATACAGTTGCATTGGCATAAATAATAAATATAACTTTTCTCGCAGAGAAAACACCCTGCGCTCAAATAAATTTTGAATACATTGGCATGTGCAATGTCTGATCTGATTACCAAATTTAAATTATTATATAAAAATGAAAATAAAGGCAAATTAATAAAAATAAAGTAAATAAATAAACAGTCGGATAACTCAATTAGGAATTTATCTTTTCTCATGTCCGATGATACGGTCTTATCTTTGATGTATGGTTAGACCCATTAGATGTTCTATGGTTAAAATCAAAGATTAATTAAATGCATAATTGCCATAACAGACCAAGTGACCTGCACTACTTGGCAAAAAGTCACTTTTGAAATATCGTGCAGCAGTCCTCAGACCATGGTTTCTAATGGGTCCAAGCTATGGCGTACAGTACATGTACTGTCAGTCGCTGCATGGTTTTTGCTATATGTTAGATAGTGTTGTTACGGATTGCGGTGCCAATCCAATAGCAAACTCCCAGCAACCCAATTAAAAATAGCCAGAAAAATAAATAGTCGAACACTGCTGCCACCTTTCGCCGCTCCTCCTCTATTTTCTCTTTAGTTTCTTTCTGACGCATGCGCAGTAGTTGCTTGTGACGTATGATGGCCAGTAAAGGGTCACTTTCACTCAGTGTTTTCAGTGCTGTATTTAAGATTTGGTCTTCAGTGTTCGGTGCGGAGGTCACGTCAGGTAGGCATTCCCCAGGGACAGTGCCGCCTTTAGCTGGGCCAATGAGGTTGGGTCTCTGCTTGCATGGCATCTTCATACACAGCAGTGGCGAAAGCACACTAAAGGCTATCTGTAAAGATGCATACATGACCGATTCATGAGATTCTTTAATGCAGAATGATAGGAGGCTTATTATACAAGATCATTCCGATACAAAAAATATATAAGTAAATTAAATGCTTTGGAAAGAAAAGAAATGCATTTATATTACAACCAAACGCGCCCCTTTCCTGATAATATGTGTACCAAATGGTATTTGATTTATTTATGTCTTTCCAATGAAGTGGATCAAATTGCTAATTACTCTTCAGGGCCTTCAACGAGATTCCATAAAAAAGCCCCGTCAAATGGGTAAGAAGTGCATCATTAACACCCTAGACAAAACGTCAAAAACATGCAGTTGGGATGGAATTAAGTTTTCACTTTGAAGAAATCTGAATTAAAACAAATATGGATTATGAAAAATTGTGTTTTAATACCGTTAAAACGATACTTAACCAAAATGACCTGTACCTAATGAAGTTATTTATAAATGAAACACAAACTATGGTGAAAAAAACGAAATAAAACCAATGAATAAAACAACAACGATGAAAACAAATTAAGGTGTTGAATTGAACATTCACCACGATGATAAAGTCTAGAAACAAGTCCTACCATTTTAAGCCATGGAGACACGGGGCTGTCAGCCTCTCGTATCCTGTTTGTGAACACTGAGACGATCATTGTGACCGTTACCAGGACCAGGTTGATTACGAAGAAAAAGCCTGAGGTATAAAAAAGGAAAAGGTGTAAGCAAATTTAAATATCCTGTTAGCTCAGTCTGGGTGATTAACAACAACGTGTGTTCATTTTTATTTATCACTTATTCATGTGAATACAATTAACATGACTATGTTAAGATTGGGTATAGTCAGTAAGTGGGGTTTGTGTTGTGGGGGCAACCACTCCTTGGTAATAAAAAATAAATAAATAAATAAACAAATAAAACTGAATTTAAACAAATAATCAAATGTAATCTAAAGATTAAACGTTTTCTTGTGTAAGGTGCAAGGTGCAAGTACCGGGGTAAATCCATACCTACCGATCATTGGATGTTCGTTTCCATTTCCAGGTATAACCTCAACGAGTATAAGAAGAATCACGCAAAAACACGTCCATATTGCCATTCCTAAAATGAACAGAAAATATAATAACACTCTTTTTAAGGTCTGAAATGTAAATGTCACTATTTCCAATTAATACATGTAATATGAATTTTCAAAATTGCAGGCACGTCTATATTGACTACCGTTATTTGCAAACAAAATTTGATGAATAAGTGAATTGCCATTTGAATTTAAGTGGCACGTACTTTTATTTTGAATGCTAAGACAGCAAAGCATCTCAGAAGCAAGTTCCCGAGATTCATATGCATAATGACCCGAGGTTTCCAAATGTGTGCCACCTGGTACAGTTAAGAAGGGAAAACCTACCCATGGACATCTTGTCTGTCGTCTGCGGTGATAACCAGAATATAGTCAGAGTAAGCGCCGCCAGGAGCACACACGGCAGCAGCATTACCAGAGAGAAAAACGAGAACCGGCGCTGAATACGAATGGAATATACCAGAAAGGTAATCTTGTCAGGGCCGGTATGGTGATGGACTTTGCTGACATTACTGGCCACCAGTTTCCATGTTGAGGATAGAGTCAGATCGTAATGCTCATCAACAGTGTAATTAGCCAGATTAAAATGTAGATCAAGGACGTCGTCGGTCATAGTGGACGAGTGAATCTGAACGTTACAGTCTTGGTAATCAAATGGATAAGTTAAAACATTTACTGTACACACAGTCAATAGCCTGCCATGCGGCGTCCACTGCACGTTACCGTCCGAAAATATCCGACATTTAACGGAATTAGCCGGACCAGAGCTACTGTAAAGCAATGCATTCTCGTCTGCACTGGAAGCGGTGAAATAAAATTTAGAAAATATATATAAGATTATTTTTGAATACTTATTTTATCTGTAATTCGTAATGTTTAAGCATGTCAGTTATTTTTTTACTATAATATATATACCACGTTTTAAGATAAGAGCATATGATTTATAGGTATTTCAGAAAATCATGATATTCACGTTCTGAATGCAGTTTAGTACTGAGTGCAGACAAAATGATATGTCTTGGTGTTGGCATGTCTGGCTGCTGGTGGGAAAATGATAAATACACATTTAGAACTCGGCTACGTGTAGCGTACGTGGCTTTAGAGAAGAACACCCTTTTCTTTACAAATATCATATATATTACTGATATATAGTACACAGAGTAACAGAAAAATATGTGAAAGATAAGACTAAACAAATATAAACTGACTACATGTAAATAAAATATAACAAAATAGCTTAACCTGTTCGATATGTCTAAGTCAGGAATCCACAGTGACGACAGAGGCAGAGCAATGCTGGAAATATTTCCAAATTCTGAGGCGTTCCATGCCAAGCGTCCGTCGTTCCATTTCTAGAATCAGGTTTGAATGGAAAGGCACATTTGTTTCTTATTTCAATAAAAAAATACATGCATTTTGACCTTGGTGATTGTCGTCGTGTTGTCTTATTGTCAAGAACATGCAATATTGTTAGATTAAGTGTCAAATTAAATTGGAAAAAGTGTCTAGGAAAAAAATTATAAAATAAAACAATATCATAAGATGCAAGCATTTTCTCTGAGAACCCAAATTTACTTACCACTACGAAGATGGCTGAAAATGACAACATCTGGTACACCTCGTCCTAAATGAAACAGAGTACGATCATAGAGAGTACATTGGTTACCTTAAATACTTTGGCAAAGTGTTCGCCATGATTTTGTAATAGTTACCCGACCTTGGGGTAACTGGAGGACAACTGATCTAGATCTGGCTGTCAGTCAACGTACAACTTTACGAAAGCACGTATCCGAAAAAAAAAAACTAATAGCAAATGCGTTATTCATTTCATAGTACACTGTTTCAACCCCCAAAACATTCTCTCAGCTTAAAGCAGAACTTAATCGCATTTATACGAAAGCCCCCGTTACTGAAGCTGTGTTTTTGAGGAATTTATCTTTAGAATTGAAAAATCGTAACAGCTTACTGTATATAATTACTAAAGTAAATAGTGTCTACCACTTACTGTTTAAAATACCCCGTAATCTATCCCTGGAAGGTCATGTGCCATACAAATTACTTTAAAATATGTGCAGAACGTTTTTGAGATACCTTGTCCACAAACAAGTTAACCGACGAAATTTGGTAAACAATAAACCTACTAAATTGAATATCTGGCTTAAGTACATCTGAGCAGTGACCGTAACGCGTCCAGTATCTCTGGACACGGGCATCACGAGGGGCCTGGACCGGGCTGTCACGTGGTCAGTCAGTCTATCCAAGTCTTCACTGCAGTGGACACCTGGAAGTTGACCATTGGGCATGTGCTTCATGTTTATTTTAAATGTGCCAATTACAATAGATAGGACTAAAAATAAATAGAAAGAGGGGGATAACGATTGAGGAAAGAAGTATAGACAAGAATGAAAAGTAACTACAAATGTTTAAAAAGGAAAAGAAAATGAACACAGAGAAATGAACGGGGAAATGAATGAACACAGAAGCGAAATGCACTAATGGACAAGCTACTAAGGAGATAAATCAGGCCTACCCAACTAGCAGACTCGGCACCTAAGGATCCTGAATTAACCGGTATATCGGACCACACTACCCGTTTTCAAGGTGTGTGTCAGATCGCATTTCGGAGTATCATACCCCAGAACAAATTTTGTAGCACGACTGCGGGCTCATCCACGCTCGGCTGAACAACCTTAAACTGTACTCTTACTTTAGAGTACTGTCTTTTATTGCCTCTATGGGGTTATATGGGGACTTTACGACATTCGGTTTGAATGTTTTAACCACTTTTGATAGGGCTTTTTTTTTGCATTGTATTAGATAAATGTGGCAGTCTAAGGTTCATCTAAGTGGCTTCCTAATTTATGCACCCGGTTTTAAAATCATATAGCGATTTTACGACAATTGTTTACTATCCAATCAAGGTGACAGCCGAGCGTGGGTTCATCCTGTCGATGTTCTGGCTGATACTCCGAAATGCGATCCGACACACACCTTGAAAACGGGCAGTGTGGTCCGAAATATCGGTTAATTCAGGATCCTTAGGTGCCGAGTCTGGTAGTTGGGTAGGCCTGTAAATGGATAAAACACTTACGCATTGGGTAGTAATGATATGCCTGTCCCGCGTAAGAATAACCACAAGATGAACATATTTACCTGTGATGAACAGTGTGATAGAGAAATACAGAATTGTCCTCATGGTGATTGATCTCATGCTGACTGCTGTCCTGACGGTAGTCGTTCTCTAATTGACGATAACAGAACACCAAGTCATATAAATACGCAGTGCTCTTACCTTGATACTGAACAATACGCCCAAACGGAAATAAAAACTCTTTAAATATATTTGAACTAGCAAACTAGAAGCAATATGCAACAGAAAGGAAACGATTAAAACACAGGTGACTCGATTCTGAATTCCCCAGGGTGAAGTAATGAGCATTGCTCTGTTTGGAAACCATGTGTCATCTGCAAATTGCAATCCCAACATTCAATCTTCAGAGTGTATATCTGTGATGTTCGGCATCCTGTTTGCCTAATCATTAACAAAAGCTCATCACAGACTAATGGGCCTCAAATGTTAGAAAAGGCTTTTACATGTTATAATACAAGATCAATACTTTTAGGTCTTTTTAAAAAGGGTTTCAATCAGAAAAGTGATTTAGATAAATGCGTGAATTATCGACCCATGGATGGAAAGATAATCAATTGGTTTGACGCCACCACTCACGCATTTCCCACCCAAGACCTCTGTATGCCGCTATATGGGATTGTTTAAAAAAGAAATGGATTTTCCACAAGGCAAGTGCGTGACATTCCTCTTTCAATTGATGAACGAGTCTACGGAAAATCAAACTGATGCATATACTGCACACTTTGTTAGTATATACCGTTGACCATATTTTGTCAGTGACATTAATGATATATTATTTGTGAACATCTAATTATAATTTTATAAATAAATAAAATTGATTAAAACTTTCTTGTCAGGTAATAAAGAACGTGCTTCACATTTGCAGTAATAATAACGATACCCCAATCATGTTATTTGTTTATTTGAAAAGCCTTTTTATAATAATAATAATAATAATAATAATAATAATAATAATAATAACTTACAACATAAATTATATTTTTTTGGATAAAGTACTAGAGTAAATAATTTATAAAACAGTAAATGACACAGGGTAGCAAATACTCTTCCTGGGGATGTCCTATCATTTGGTTTCAAAATACACATATCAGATATCACAAAAAACGTATCGAACTGTGTATTTAACGTACGTAAGTGCGGTCAATATTTAAACCTACGGAAATGCTATTTGACGCGTCCCTAAATCAAGTTAAATGTAGTTGAAGTGTTATTCGGGAAGGAATTATCTTGCGCCCAGTCCATATCTTCCAATTGTTACGCCAACAACATGCCTGAAGGAAATGCATTACTGATGTATTTTACTGACTCTTTTGTTCTCAGAAAGTTTACTTGTAATGATGGAGGTCGATTCATTGTTTTTATACGAGGATTTTACTACAGGCTATACATTCAAAAAATACAAAAAAAAAAAAAAAAAAAAGGATGAAAAGAATATATTTTATACTATTTAGTGACATTTATAACAGGTACCCCCCCAAATCAATTGTTTCACTGTGATTTCTACAGATGTATGACGTTAGGAAAAAGTGACACGTTTGTTAAGTGTATACATACAGCAATAAGTGTTTTACTTTTCTTCATCTCCTCTCTATACAACAAAACAGTCAACGTACATGTTCGTGTTCTGGCGCACGTTCCTGTAACTACACATTCTGTGCCATTAATTTGTATCATTCATTTCTAGTGTTTGGTTTAAGGTGCTTAGAAGGTCATTTCGGCAATAAGGCATATGTGTGATATATGATCCTTTTATTAACTGACTGTTGCCTTGTGTCCGGGTCGAATGTAAAATAAACAACAATTTAAAACTAGGGCAACAGCATCCTGTTCACAGTGATAAAACTTAGGCCATAATACGCTTACTCATTGAGCAACTGGAGTTAAAGAAGAAGAGATTACGGTTTCGCCAATTCTCATTTTGCGTTCCTGTCTGTTACATGCATATGTACCATTGGATCAAGTGTGCAGTTATGTCTTGGGGTTGCTATTTTCTAGTGGTCCTATTAATTGCTGGTTGTGATTCTACATGTACTCCACAAGAAGAAGGAATAGAGGAACGGGTCCGGGGTCTGGAGGCTTTCAGAAACGTTATCTTTACCTGGTTGGAAAGGCTGCAAAATGATATTCTGTTGGTTAACGCTACTGCAAAATGTGGTAAGACCTACGTATCTTTCTCTGCTTCTGTCTCTCTTTTCATTGTATGCGTGCATTCATCTCTCTCTCTCTTTCTCTACCCCATACACATTGTGCGTACATGCGCTCACATGTATAGTACCCTATTCTATCAAATGTATAAAAACCTTGTTTGGTTTTACAGGTGTGCCGACTGTCGCATTTTCGGCACAGCTTACCACTTCTCCTCAAGTTAAAAGAAACGACGATCTAGTGTTTGCTGGCGTCATCACCAACATTGGAAACGCGTACGACCCAACATCCGGGCGTTTCACCTGTCCTGTTTCTGGCACTTACTTTTTTACGGCAACCATTCTGACGTCACACAACGGCGGAAGAGTCGAGGTTACGTTACGCAGCAGCAAGAAAGCAGGGAAGAATCTGATGCTTCTGCTTGCCAAGAGTCACGGAGATCACAACAGCGGGTCCAACTCCGTCATCGTTCAGTGTGAAAAATGGGAGGAGATAAATCTTCGGGTTAATCATGTTCGTGACCCGAACCCAACTTTGTGGAACTATTGGTCGACCTTCTCCGGATATCTGATAGCTTCATAAAAAACTACACCTGATGTGACGCACACTAAAAATTGATATTGGCTTATAATGTACCAGCCACCCTATTTTAATGGCTACCTAAAGGGTTTATGATGGCAAATAAATACTAGTGCATCTTGGATCAGTAATTAGTTTTTGAAAACTATTTTCAAACTGAATCAAGATCTTAGCGAATGCAAATTTCGTTCAAGATATTTTAAAGCAAAAAGTACGTTATCAGATTTCTATTCCCCACAATTTCATTCATCTTAATTGCAATCAATAACCAAATGTTGCACCAGGTGCCCTAATTAACAGGATCACATGACGTGAATGTACGCTCAATAAAACAACTTGCAAAATTCTACCGTATGCTGTTTTTACCTCCGCCAAGGAGGTTATGTTTTCACCCCTGTTTTTGTGTCATCAACATAAGTCGAAAAGTTATGGACCGATTTTGATGAAATTTTCAGGAACTGTCAGAAGTGGGCCAAGGTACAGATAATTAGTTTTTGATGGTGATCCGGAACGAAAATCAATCAATAGTCAATAATAATAAAAAATTGCTTCCTTGGCGGAGGTCTGTGCTGTCGGAGTGCTTTTCTAGTTTCTGATTGCTTTTCTGTTACAATGCAGAAGTATTACGCGCGGTTTTATGTTAAAGATGGCAATGAGAGAGAAAAGAGATTTAGTTTCGCCCTTATGCATCTGTCCACGAAAACAAATTTCTTCTCTCACTATAACACAATGAGCTTTAACATATTAAAAGTGGATTAAACAGTTAAAAAAAAAAAAAAAAAAAAAAAAATCAAG